GGGGGGGGGGGGAAGGGGTCACCCAGACCCTAATCCAGACCTTAAGATAAAGGGGGGATGATCTCAAAAAAAACTTTTTCCGGCCCTTCAGGCCTCAGTTTGGTCTAAATATAAGGGGGGCCCTCCCCTAGACCTGCCTCTGATGAGGGTTCAGTGTATAGAGTACCTGAGCAGTAGCTGGAGGGAAGGGTACTCTGGAATTTAAGTGATGGGAAAGATCGAATGAATCTTTTGGGTTTGAAATTTTTGTTTCTGGGAGTTTTTTGGACAGGAAAATTTGGCAAGTACTTTTTGGGTGGATTGAGTTAAGTAGGGTATTGGGTATTCAAAACAATCAGTGAAGATTCTGGGTAGTGCCAGAGTATTCAAGCTGCGACGTTTTGCAAATAATAATAATAATATTTTAATATTTATTGCGTTACATTCCATCTAAGGCACAAAAATTTTGCGCGGGACTTTTGGTTCAGGGATTATTTTAGGTTTTGTAGGAAGCCTTTGGGCCAGGGATGTTTGGGGGTTCAGTGATGTTTCTCCCCATTTGATCATCCAAGTCCCTTGAAATCCAGAGTAGCCCCCTATAGGGCTGCAGGGCTAATGCTGAATGGGTGAGAACCAGATAGCAGCTACAATAATACCGTGCTTCTTACCTCCTCAGCAGTGACCTTGCGATAATTTAAATTAGTTACACAGGCAAGGAAACAGTCCTGAGTGAGCTTGTTGTATAGCTGCAAAAACTCTTTGTACTGAAAGAGTAAAAAAAATTATGCCAAAAAATGTAAAAAGTCTTAAATCACTTAGAATACTAAACCAGCATCATGACATGCCATAAGTACATGGTCAATTATTTATGAAACCACTTATTGGTTATCGAATATATTTTAAAATTATTGTGGGTGAAACATGAGGGCTTACAAGTAATCTATAGCCATATAATACTGCATACACATGTTGTTGTTCTACTAAAAAACTTCCACAAAAAGGTAGAAAATGATCCAAAAATGTCCGAGAAATAAATAGTGTTCAAACTTACATTTCGAGCGGCTAAATCATCAGCTATAAACCTCTCCATAAAAGTACAAAACCTGATAACCTTAACTCTAAGCCATCACCATGCATACCTTACATACGGCTACTTTCCCCACCCTACCCCGTCACTAAATCCACACTATAAACAAACTTTTGACCAAGTAAATGAGAGAAAAAAAAATTTATTATAGAATAAATGACGTAGACTTATAATCTCAAAAAGGCTATAACTTTTCAAAATATAAGGAGGGTACAAAATCGTCAATAATAAGTTTGAGTTTACACAATTTAAAAATAAGGGAGGGGATACTGTGGGTACTCCCGCAATGTGGTTTAACTTGTCCAGCGATGCCCAACAGCTGACCATGCGCATTGTTTTCGTACTTTGCTGTAGTTTCATTCCCGCCAAATTTACGAACAAGTGGAAGTGTTGTTTACCTGTTTTTGACCACGATTTACTCGTTCAAAACGCCTTTCGAAACAGAGCTTGAGTAACTATTTATTGTACTTCTTCTTTTTATTGTCGTTAGCATATTTATACGCAAATTTCTTTTACATACTACGAATCATTTGTGGTTATATGCGGTGTACTTGATGATTCTGATTTGCAGGTTTTGACGCTTGCTGTCCCTTCAAAGTTCCGTGGAAATGGGTTATCTTCAACGGCTGGAGTTAGAGAATTTCAAGTCCTACAAGGGAAAGCATACTATTGGACCATTCAAACGATTCACAGCCATTATAGGGCCAAATGGATGTGGTGAGTGGATATTTGATGGGCAACTATAAAAGCTTCATTTCAAGGCTTATTTGTGCTTTTTCAGAGTTTCAAAGCTTATAACTCTTGTAGTTGCATGGCCTTCTGTATCAGCTTAAGTGGATCAAATCACATGACAGTCGTTTTGTGAAGCTTTCTATATAATAGTACCAACAACCTGAGATCAGGCTCTATTTTTGTTTCGCTTTGAAAATTACATTCCGGCGGGCAAGACGAAACTCAGGCCCAATTTCAGCGGTAGCCGTTGGAGAGAATGTATGAGAACCAAATTGGGCCTGATCTCAGGTTATAGTACCAATAAATGCCCATTTTCCCTCTGGGGGTAGGGGGGGTACTCATGGGAATTCTTGGTTGGGGTGTGCTGCCCGGTTCTACAAATGCTGACCCTTTTTCAGACCAAAAAATGTCATATTTTTCCATACCTATTTTCAGACCAGACCTCTAAAATCCATACCCATTTTCAGATCTGGCCTTAAGGCAGAAATTATGTCATCATAACTTAGATAAGAGTACCAACAAATGCATTTCGAATTCACATATTTCTATATTGTTCCTATTCATTTAGAATTGAAATGATACCATGTTTATACACTCCCTTAGTTCCCTCAAAAACCATACCCAATTTCAGACAGAAATGGGCAAAGTGTATACCCGTTTTCAGACCAAAAAGGCCCAAAAACCATACCCTTTGGGACAACACGTTCCTGTATGGATTATGTAAGGGAGAACCCCCCCAGATTTCCAATATTGTTGTTTTATGCTATATTTTTTATAACTAGGAAAATCTAATTTGATGGATGCCATTAGTTTTGTGTTTGGTGAAAGAACACAGAGTCTTCGAGTTCGCACAGTTAAGGTGAGTGTTAATTATCTGGGAAGTGGATCTGAAATCTTTTCACCCTTTAATAAATCATTTCTGCTTTCATTCCCAAAAAGATGCAGACAAATCCACATACCATCTTTGCGATAGCTGTCACAAAGTGCCCTCATAAATAGGAATTTACCAAAAAATTTGGTAATACTACAATTGTCAGTCTTGAAGTAATACAAAACTGGAAATAAACCCGTTCAAATACAACACACTTGTTAA